TATCATTTTATATTCCTCCCAGAGTGAGGGACAGATTCATTGTCTCTGCATCCTTACTAACATTTGCTATTGTCAGTTTTTAATTTTATCCTTTCTAGTAAGTATGTAGTATTATTTCATTGCAATTTTCATTTGTATTTTTATGATAATGATGCTAAAATATATAAATATATATACATATATATATATATAAAATGATTATTCAGCATATTGGGTTTTTTTTCATGTCTGTTAAAGTTTTTGACCATGTTTTGAATTAAGTTATCTTTTTCTGACTTACTGAAATTCTTTTTTCTGTTCTGGATTTAAGTCTTGGTCAGATATATGTATTGCAAATATTTTCTCTCAACCTGTTTCTTGCCTTTTCACTCTCTTAATAGTGTTTCTTGACGAGTGAAATATTTTGATTTTGATGACTTAAATTTATTAGTTAGGTTGGGTTTTCCTGAGATTCTTGTATATGTATTGGCAGCATTTTAGCCATCATCTTCTCTAATATTTTTCTGCTTCTTTTTTCCCTCATCTTTCTATGATGGCTCAGTTTCACATAAATCATATATGTTGTCCCTTTGTCTCTCATATTCAGTTCTGTTTTTTCCTCTTATTTTTTTCCCTGTGCTCCACTTTGTGTAATTTCTACTGATACGTAGTTTCCTGATCCTTTCTTCTGCTGTGTCCAGTATACCACTAAACTCATCTGATATATTCTTAATTTATATTATTGTAAATACTTTAGAATAAATTTTATCCATACACGTAAATGTTTTAGGATATCCAAAGTTTCATTTCTGTTTAAATTCTCCATGTCTTCATGCTAATAATTGGTAATTTAAGTACGCAGTTTTAAATCCCTACATCTGATCTTCTGTGTTTTGCATCAGCTGACCCTTCTGTCCCTTATGTTTTCTTTGCATATCTTGAAATGTTTTATGTACACTGGACGTTGTATATAAACAAGCCAGCAAGCCCATGGAGGACATCATTTTTCCCTAGAAAGGGCAAGCATTTCTCTATTAGGCAGCTAGGATAAAGGCCAGATCACTTCAAACAGGAATTTATCTGAACTGGGGATTAGTTGCAACTATACTTCATTTTGGCTCATGTCTGGTTTCTAGTAACTTGATGTCAAAATTTATTTTTTTTCTGAAATTCCAAAACCATGATGGCAATCTTTGTCCTGTATGTATTGCAACATGCAGGGCTTTGGCATCTCAGCACTGGGAGAGTGATATCTATCTGCTTTTCCGTCACACGTTGGCACATTACTCAGCTAAAGTCTAGGGCAGAGAATCAGCGAACAGGGAGAATAAGTCTTGAGTTTGGATGCCCTCCAGATTCTTATTTACCATATCAGACTAGGTGGCCCTTAAAGTCCCTGCTTGGTTTCTTCTACCCCTCAGGATTTCCTCTACCAATGACAGGCACAGTTTCCCACCTATATTTAGAAAATATCCCACGGAGCTAAGAAGCTGCCAATTTCTGTTAATTTTCTGAGCACTAGTTATTTTAGACTCTTGCACGTAAAACTCTTAGGTGCCTTAAAAAATTCTGTTCTAATATATCCTTTTCTAGTTTTTTACAATGAAGTAATGGCCTGCCAAACCTTATATATCCAAACCAGAATCTGAACTCCCAGTATGTATTTTTAATTATTGCCCAAATTATTTCATTTTTTTCAGTTTCCTTTTTACATTTGGCATGTAAATTCTTGTCTCTTCCTAATTTGGAAATATATGGTCCTACTCCTTATCACAATTATTATAAGTAATAAAACTGAGTTAGAACAAAAATATGATTAACGTGTTTTTGAGTTTGAGGAAATTATTGAAGAGAAGAGAAAATAATCTCTAACTATAAATTACAATGAGAGTACATTGAAGATGAACTCTGTGCGGATTCAGTTTCACACCATTATTTCCCGATCTGCCATTTTATCTCATAGCACTGTTAATAGGTAGATAGAATATAGAAAAAGAAATGTGGTATGTGCTTCTTTACCGTCAAAAGAATGATATTTGTTCAGAAAGAAAGCAGAAGCCCCCTTTGTCCACAGCTCTAGGACTGTGACCACATCAGACAGAAGTGAAACAATTGATTCAGTGTTTTTGCTACATCAAGGCACCCAGGAGGCATGCCCTTGCCCTGCTAAATGGATTTCTGGGCTGCAGGGAGATCAAAACCTTTAGGCCCAAACTGATTTTTGCTGTGATCATCCTGATCTGGTTAATAAGAAGGGGCGATTCAGCTTCAGGGAAGATTTTCAGACTGTTAATCACCATATTGTTTTTCTCTTCAGAACTGTCATATTTCTCCCTGGGATATATCTCTTGCATTGATGAGTTTCTGATTTCTTGGGGGAAGTGATTGATTCAGAAAAATCCTAACCAGCGTGTTACTGGCAGAAAATATATTTTTTGCTATTTAAAGAACACTCATTGTGTTCTGACTCCCTGAGGCACAGCATGTTACTGTGGGACAGATACAGCATAATTTAAAAATATGTGTTATTTGTTCTTTCTGATCATATTAGCATGCATTCTTGAAGTAATGTGGAAAATGTCGTAAAGCAGCTAATCCAGGACTTGCAGCAATTTATTACAAAGAGAAGATCTGAGAATAAAATGGTTATCTGTATGTTAGGTGATAATTTGTTTAGGGAACCAGAACTGAGTCCTAAGCTTGGTTTTGAAGGAAGCATTTGAGTGTAACAGTGAGGCAGAGTTGAAGACGACTGTAACACCAAAACAGACACAAACAATGATATTTTCATAAAGATTAGTTCCTTCTTAAGCACTTACATGTCATAAAACGAGACATGAAACAGATAAATACCAGTTATGTAAGGTATTATACCCTTTTAAAATAATCAACACTAAAAACCATTCTATAGTCTATTTACTTTTTCCTTGTAATCATCTAGAATTTTTATAGAAAGGAATTAAGAACTTGGTTAATAATTATATCCTATACAATTATGTTCACGACTAACAGTGCAGATTTCAAGTTAAAAGGTTCTTTATAATCACATAATTTTTAAAATATTTGGACTTTGAAAAAATAAATGCTGAATGGAAAACACATTGGGAAATAATGCAAAATTAGGGGAAAAATCAATCAAAGAATGTCCTTAAGAAATTCTGGAAAAACACGCTTTTTAATGTCCTATTATAAACTAGTTGAAATATCACAGCATACGCATTTGATGTCAAGAGTTCAGCTCATTTCATTTGGTGATACTTCAAAGACTCATTTTGGTGTATACCAGCATGCTGAGGCCAGCCAGCATCTCTGTCAGGATCAGACATAAGTCTCTCCCTGACTTATCTGATTACACATTTTCCTAAGTTAAAACAAAGCAACAACAAAACAACTGGCAAAAACTAAATGGAAATCTTTTTAAGGAAATGTTTTGGTTCACAGGCTAATTTTGGTTCATAGGTCAAGTTTCAGAATAACCACCCATACTAATACTGCTATTTCTATTGCTGCCTTAGTCATAATTTGTCTCTGTTGGATTAGAGACTTTCTCAGTCATTGTGTTTCTAGCAGATATACTGTTGTCACTGTTTATTCACAACAATAGAGTTTATTTTATCACTGTAATAACAAAGAATAACAGAAAGAGAATGTCCCCCTCAGTACAAAATCCGGGGTAGGAAGCGTAACTGTCTAACACACAGTGGCACTGTGCTGATGAGCTGAGACATGAATGCAAGCATTATTGTGTACTCTTTTTCCTATCCTGTTTATCAAATGAAGTCCCCATAGGCACTATCTTCTTTCTAATAGACTATTTATTGCAATTTCAGCTTTCTCCTTCCTCTGTAGAGAAACAGCATAACCTTTTTCCCCAGGCCTTTGTACTCTTACACCCCATTTTCAGCCTTTGTAGTGCTGTGACGCCCCAAGTTTTTGCTGAGCACACTAGCAGGGAGAGGACAGGGCAGCAAGCCCCGGCTGTGATCTCGAGCCCGGGAGTGTGAAAGGGGTATTTTAACGAGCTCATTCACTGTAAGCCAAGCCCTTAGATTCAACTTCAGCAATTTCTGGCAGTTCTGATGATGAAGGAGTAGCTTGACATTTTCTTCTCGGGCACATAAGTGCCATCTATCATCCTGGGGATCTAGTGACTTCAAGAGCTGCAGAGGAGACGCTGATGTGCCCTGTCGGTGGAACACATCTCGGCGAGAACACTGAAGATCAAGTAGTGTCAAACAGACCTGGGATTCTTCTGTAAAAGTTTGGAAAAATAAGCAAAGTTATTCTGATTTGGAGTGTATAAGGATGGACTTTGTAGAAATAAACAGCATTGGGATTTATAAAAATTGCAAGGATTCAAAGACATTATTCAGGGGATTCCAGCATCTGGTGGGAATTACAAAAGATTATCCGTATTTCGATGAATTAATTCACATAATGTTAGATCATCTTTGAGACTGAAAATTTAAACCTACAGGGTGGAATTTATGTCTATTTAATCATTCAGTTTTGAAAGCACCTATGTTCAAAAGGGATCCCATTTCTAACCACACACGGTTATGGTCACAGTTAGACAAATTATTTGACCCTGTTGGGTCCCAGTTGTAACATCTGTAGACTAGTGGTATTTATGGTAAAATTACCTTCACAGAATGAATGACATTATTTCTGTAAAGGACTTAGAAAGCACCTGCTGCAAACGTGCCCTATACATATTTGCTACCAGTTTGATTATTAACCGAGCATATTTTGCATTGTAAGCGTGATTTAAATACTTCACACAAATTCCTTATTTGCAAACCAGAGATTGGCAGAAGCTCATATAGTGTGTTTTTTTGTTTTGATTTTGAGTCTTTATGGTTATTTGAATAGACTTTTAGACCTAAGCTTTCTAATTGTGTAGTTAGTGACTTATGATCGCATAAAATAAAATATATAAAATGTAGTCTGGCAGTAATTCCTCTAGTCCTTTTCTATCTAAATGTCATTCAAAATATTTTCTGTTCTCATTTGTTTTTCAGCATATGATGCATTTTGAGGAATTCAAGAGTTCCCAAGGTGTTTAAAGGAGACAGAGTGCATGCTAGGACTCAGATACCGGCTCTTCCATTATTTCAAAGGTGAGGGAGCCAGAGAATGGAAACAGAAAGTCACAGGTAACTCTGAGGAATTTCATCATCTCAAAAGAGGCACTTTCATTTGAAAGTTTTCAAAAAATAAAACAAAAATGCCTGGAGGAACTCTCTTTGCTAAGAGAAGACTTCTTTCCTAAGCATGGTTATTAACAAGGAAGACATTCATTGAGCCTTACAAGAATAGAGACTGAAATCTATCAGTCTCATATGGGGTCAGAAGTTAAAATACCGTAAATCAAAGATCTCTGATTCCTGTTCACAGAAATCAGGCCTGAATAAAAGATTGGCTCAAGCTTGGATGTAACAGGGGAGGGCTCAGACGTTCCTTTGGGTGCCCCTGGAGAAAGCGGCTGGACTATAGTCTGGTTCTCTCTGCAGTTTGCTTTCAGGCAAACACCAGATGGATTGCACATCAGATACGATTTTGTCTGGAACATTTCCTGATGTCATTGTCCAGAAGTTTTCTTAGGCATTTTTACTGCAGTACTCTTGAGCTGGATTTCCTGATGGGAATAATGAAAGGGTTTTTATAATTTCTGTATTGATACTGATAGCTCTGCCTTTTTTTAAAAAAAAAATCCCTTTCAATTTATTTTGGGAATAGAATTTATAGAGTATTTAATAGTTTGGCTTGGTGTTTAGAATATAAGTATATAAGATGCTAAAATAACCACATCAGTTACAACAGAATATTTATTGCTTGGAAAGTGCTGGAGTCAAATGGCGTTGATTTCTGGCATAATGTACTATGACCCTCATCCATCTGTTCAGAGCTTGATGCAGAAATCAATATAATCTCTTCTTGGGGAAGCCCAAGGCATTCTCGGCATTGAGACACAGGGCTTCCAGATTGCTAATGTGATTAAAAATAATCAAGGCCTTACAGAAGCTTCATTTTCCATCATCCTCTAAAATAAAAAGTTTTCCCTGAAAAGAACTCTTTCTGATCAAATTTTGTTATTCAGTGTATTTCTTTCATTTTTTGCAATTCAATTATAGTGCAGTTTTTGATTATATCTTTCGAGACTCCCAACTGAGTTCAAGTAAAAGTGCATTGGCAGACTGGTTTAAAATCTACCTAGTACAATAGGACTCCTCTTGAAGTGTCAATAAATATTCATGGTAGAAGATTTCATGGTAGGAAAGTGTGTCTGACCTCAGTTTGGGGCGGCAGGAGACATTTGTCTTATTTTAAGAAATGGTCTAAAATCTTACAGATTTTGATATTGTTCCAAATGTATCTCAAATTTCTGATTTTTCTCTTTTCGATTAAAGACAAAATTATTAATCTACAAACGTACTAAGAAAGTTTCAAAAATTGTATTTTGCTAAAATAATTTTATGTTTGCTAATGCAAAAGGTGGAGACTCTAAATGTGATTTGCATTTCAGCAGTTAAAAAACAAAAAATGTTCACATAATTCTGAGAGCACCGTGTTGGCCTCAATCAAAGAACTGAAGTTTCATTGAAGTGGGAGAAAGTGGTGCCCACTCCTTTGTACGGTAAGGTCATAACTGATTTTTATTTTCCTCTCTGACCTAATGGATGTTAGGAACAGGACTTTCATAAACACTGGAGACAGTAATTCCCTCAGCACCCTTCCTATTTATCTGTGCTTCAAGACATTTTCTGTCATGGTGTGGTTTTCAGTGTTTATATTAGGGTTTCTAGAGAAGTCTTTATGCAAAAATATATAGTTGAGGAAATAATGTTGATTATAGAGCCAAATTCTTTGTGAACAGATTCATAATAATCTTTGTAAAGTATGTATTACAAGACCTTTGTTTGAAGTAAAAAATGCAGTTATGTAATAATTTATGTAAATAAATAATCACTTCCTGTCAAATGAATGATAGGCCAAGAAAAATGCAGAATTGCCCATGCTACAGATGCCTATGTGATGAGTAGGTCACCTTTCTGAATTAGCGTTTATTCTACTTTAGTGTTTATCAACAACCCTATAATCCCTTACATTAGAAAGGTTAGAATCTACTTGAGTATGATGTCAGTAGTCTGAAAATAGGTATGGTCAGCTCTCATTATTTGCAGTAGTTAAGCTTTTAAAAAATCACTCTGAACCCTGAATTAATTACTATTGAACCACTGCTCCTAGAAGAAATACAGGGTTAGGTTCCTGCAGCTTCTGCTCATATAAGTTGCATCAACTGATCAATGCACAATCTCATTTTGTGTGTATTTCTGTTTAAATACCATTTGTTTAATGTATGCTATTGATTCTTGAACACCAAACTCACAGCCCGCAGCACTGTAACTCATGCCCAAGTGCAGCTCATCCCACACGTGTTTTCTCCATAAGGCACGTCACAGTCTTCTGCAGCTTAGGAATGCCAGGCAGCATTTCAGCACTATGCTTGGGGGCCGTTTTAAACAGCAACATCACCAACAAAACCCTCAAAAATGTGGAAAACATGGCTCTAAATAGACCACAAGAGGACACTTGTTTGTAGTATGAGAGCTGAAACAACTAGGAAGGGCAGCGCGTTGTTTGATCTCAGCCAGGAAAGTATGGGTCAGGTGATTCAAATTTTTTACAGCTCTGTGCATGTCCAGAAATGATCTTAAAGCACCTTGAGTGTTCATTTTCAGGTTACAAATACATTTTAGCAAGTAGGTGAATTCACAAATAGGGAATTTGCAAATCATAACGATTGCATATAATCGGATGAATCCTAATAGTTTTTTATCCCCACTATATACTCGCGTCCTGCATTGAATGCTACCTTTATAGTTCCAAACTGAAACTTACAAACAAAAGTTTCCAGTGTAGCATTTTGTCATGGAAATGAGAAACAGGGATAAAGTTTTTTGTTTGTTGGTTTGTTTTACCATATTTTGTTTAGTGATGGTAAATGATTGGACTCTAGGCAAATTGTCTATTAAGCAGTTAGAGAAAAACTACTTTGCTGCAAAAGTTCTTTTTATTCCATCATGCTATTAGTTTACTACTAAAAGATTTTAGTTTTATAAGGGTGACTGTACATTTGAATCATGAAGAACTCATGGAACATGAGAAGCTTGTTAAACAAAGTGAAAATTGCCAGAGCTATATATCTTTAACTAAAAAAATAATGAATTAATGCATGTGAAGAACAAAGAAGACAGAGGATTTTTACAGTTAAGTTGCTGCTTCAAATCTGATTCAATTGATAGTAACTAAAAATTGCTCCCATCTGTTTAGTAGCTGATGGTTAATCTATTGATGGTATAAATTCTCTTCCTAGTGAACAGGTGGCAGGGAGTTAAAAGACCATTTGTGAAGAGACCTCCACTGATGCTAACTACCAGCCTTGAACCAGCCAAGAGTTGAAGCAGAGCATCCATGTTAATCTTCTTCAGAGCAAGATGGAAACATACTGGTGAGCTGGATCTGAATTCTTTTCAATCTTCTTACACATATTATTCATTAGACTAAAATTTTGTACATAATTTAAAAGACATAAAGTGCTGTTTGTGGATTTAGGCATTGGATACTGCAGACATCCCTAATAGCTACTAAGCTAAGACTTAGTTTATAAGTAATCCTCTGCTCTGTGGTTTGGGTGAGGGGTGGGGTTTCTATTTAATCATAAATGCTTGCTTCATACACTCAGCTTGTACAGTATAAACTGATGATCCAATTTCAAAATTTTGAATGTAAAATTTATGTAATAAAATTGCAATACAAACTTACATTTTTTAAAACAAAAATATTTAGCAGTTGCTTTTATATCTCGTAGCAACTTTGAGTTACAGCAGTTGGTTTTATGGATTTTGCACATACCAGTTAAGTAGTTAAAGGAGTTCCATTTTCCAGAGTAGTGAATAATTTAAGTGCAATTTAGACATGTGCTTTACATAGTAAATATAAAGGCTCGTCTAAGCTATACTATAAGAAATAATTCTAATTTTAAAATGCTATAACAGCAAAGCATATGCCACATGTAACAAAAAATAAAATATCAAAAACCTATGACTGTGCTCTTTTGGGGAAGAGAAAAAAATTGAATTGTCTAGGGTATTTATTTTTCAGTGGGACAGGATTGGCAATAGTAGTCTGTGTCTGAAGATCTGCTCTCTCTTGAGTCTAATGCTGGTGAGATCAGCTATCAAAAAGTACCTGACTGAGAATCTTATCCTTCTCGCCTGCTATGGATCAGAGCATTTGTTCCTTCCTAGACTGATATCACTATTTCTAATTGAGAAACTTTAAATATAAGGCCACAAGAACTGCTTTCAAAGTCCTGATGAGACTAAGGTCATAATCAACAGGGTTCCCATTCATTCCTCATTAGGACAATCATACTAAAATTTCCTATCTTCCTTGTAAAGCTTGAGGAATTTGTGAATCAGTACTTTGCATTTAGCCATTTCATAACTCACTAAACTAACTAGGGGGATTGAAAATAACACTTTCCAAATAATTCCTAGTTCATCTCTATAGTTTGATCTAATTGAACACTTAAAAAAGACTGTTAGATAAGCAGGAGACCGATGTAGGGACACCAACAAAACCGAAGGAGATGAGATTTCTAGTTCAGTTCTGACAAGCTTAGAAATTGTTACTCTTACTCTTACAACAATAAAAAGTAGGGCAAACTGAAAGTCAGCTTTTCTTAGACCCATAGGAGAGCTGATCTTTGGGCAAATGGTCACCCTAAATGCTAGAGAGTCAGGCATCAGGAGAGAAACAACTCCTGAGATTGACTGACCTGGAGCAGAAGCCTTTGGAATTTAAAAGATGGTGGGAAAAGTTAAGTGGTTATTTGGATGAATTGCTGAGGCTGTGTGGGCTAACATAGGAGCAAAAAACTCCCAAAGGTTTCTGTCATAGGTGGGTCCCACCCTTATTAGGCTTTTACACCAGGACCCCCAGCAGGTTAGCCAGTGAGCCTCTGAGAAAAAGCTCCTCCTGGCCCTGGCTGGAGGAGGGCTATCACAGCCACCGGGAAACTTGCTCAGACTTTTTTCCCTACAAAGCCTAGTCTCCAGGGGGAATGAATTTGCCAGGCGGCAGTTCTGAAAATGTATTGCAGTTAAGGGAAAGCAATTTCACTCCAGCTTCAGCTTTTCTGTGTCACTTAGGGGAAAAACAAATGTGTAAGAACAACAACAAAAATCATTGAAAAGAAATAAACAAAACATCAAACTTAAGAGGGATGATGTTTTTAAGAAAGTATATTGGGAATACTATAGCCAGGGAAGAGTGTAAGGGGGAGGGAGAAAACAAGGTTTCCCCCTGGAGGAGGGACAGAAATACTTGTAAAGACCACACCCTCAAGACACTGGCCCATTAAAAGACTGAGTCTTAACTAGAATGATATAGAATGCGCCCTCTTCCCCATGCCCCATCATCACACCAAAATTCCAGTTTAAGAGTGGATGACAACAGAAAGAACTGCAAGACACAGACAGTCTCTGAGGAGCAGTATAAGGAGAAGCCTAAAATCTCAAGTCAAGAGACAAAAACAAGAACACTAGAAGAATTAGACATGTCTGGTACCTAACAGCTATAACAAACTAAACACAACCCAGCTCCTAGCCATGTTAACATAAAGCCTTGTACTAAAGTCCTATTTATTTGAGTATCTAATACAACACATCCAGCTTTCAACAAAAAATTCCAACATAAGCTAAAAGGAACAAAAAAAAAAAAAACCCAAAACAAAAAACATTTTGAGGACCCAAAGCAAGCTTCAGAACTATACTCAGAAAAGACACAGGTGTTGGAATGATCAGACAAGGAATTTAGCACAGCTATGGTTAATATGTAAAGGTCTACTAATGGAAAAGTTAGATAACATGCAAGACCAGGTGGGTAATGCAGAGAGATGGAAAGTATATGAAAGAACCAACAGAAAATGCTAGAAATAAGAAAAAAAACCATAGTAACACAAATGCCTTTGACAGGTACTAGACTCCACAGAGCTGAGGAAATAATCAGTGAACTTGAAGACAGCTCGATAGAAATTTCTCAAACTGAAACATAGAAAGAAAAATAAATAAAAGTGAGCTCAACAGCACAACCAGAATGTGTGGGGTGGTATCCAAAGGTGCACCATACATGGAATAGGAATTCTAGAAGGAGAAAAAGAGAGAGAACAAGGCAAAATAAATATTTGAAGTAATAATGGCTGAGAACTTTTCAAAATTAGTGAAAGATACCAGACTACAGATCTAGGAAGCTCAGAGAATATCAAATAAGATAAACAGAAAACAAAGGGTACTGTAATATCAAAACCCTGTTCCCTGCTATATATCACTTTTCTCAAAATGTGGTAACAATTTTTTGCTATTTTCTCTTGGTACGAATAATTTTCCTAAGTGGATCTGATGCTAATGGCCCTTGCTGGAATGTGACTTGCCAATTACTACCTTCTTTGATGGGGCAGTCATAACTATTGTACTGGCATATCTTGTTTCATTGTGTTTCACAGATACTGTGTTACTTACAAATTGAAGGTTTGTGGCAACCCTCTGTGGAGCCAAGTCTATCGGTGCCATTTTTTCCAACAGCAGTTGCTCACTTCACGTCTCTGTGTCATGTTTTGGTAAGTCTCACAACATTTCAAACCCTCTACCAACAAAAAGATTACAACTCACCGAAGACTAAGATGATCATTAGCACTTTTTAGCAATGAAGTGTTTTTAATTAAGGTACGTACATTTTTTAAGACAATGCTATTGCACACTTAATAGACTATCACATAACTTTTATACGCAATGGGAAACCAAACAATCTGTGTGACTTGCTTTGTTGAGATGTTCACTGTGTTGTAGTGGTCTGAAAACAAACCTGCAATATCGCCAAGGTACGCCTGTGTTGGTTCTGTAGGTATCATTTGAACAGATAGGATACGTGTCACAGCAGTCTCTCCCCAGCCATTCCAGCAGAACCTGTTGCTGACTGATTCCTTTTCCCCGAGGTTTATTCAAAGAGTGCTTAACTTTTATTGGTCTTTGACCTCCAAGATCCAACTTATTTTTAAGATCCATTCAGGGAAGCAGGGGTTATCATAGTACCATAGTCTTAGGTGCATTATCTTATCTATGGACAAAAAATTTAGCAATACAAAGGGATTAAAGTACTCTGTGGACAAATCTCATTTATCAATACAAATGATCTCTGATCCACTTACTTTAAAACTCTACATTCTATAGATAACACTCTGCAATGTATGACCTTGTACTATTTCTCAAGGTGAGGACATTATAAATCATATACTGGTATATACTGGTATGTATTCCCCATATACCATCCACAATCTGCTCTCCTTTCATTACCACCCAAATGTGATAGTTACAGACAGAACTTTAAGAAAATATTTAGAACATAACCTGGTATATGTGAATTTCACAACTTTATATTGTTATATGGCAAAAAGCCATGTTTTTCTTGAATAAGGATTCATAATTAGTTTACCAAAGTAGTATGAATTCTCAAGAAGATATATCCATTCAAGATCCTGGGAATATCTATGTGTGTGTATATTCCCAGGATCTTGAATATTTAGAGAATGTTACTTTTACTGAGTAATTTTGGGGAATTTTATTTCCAAATGAATGGTGATGACCTCAAAATAGTTACTTTAGTAGGTTATGTAATTTTAAATTATTGAGGTAATACAAGCAAAACTTCATTACTTTGGAAAATAGTTTTTAAAAAAAATTTATAAGTAAAAATCTAAAGATTTTATAAAAAATCTATTTCTGAGATTCTCTCTGACAGCTACATGTAGTAATCAGCAGGGAACTTTCCCATTCTTTGCCTCTAGCTCCACTTTCCACCAGAGAAGTAATTTTGTAGTAGATATCTCTTATCGGGCTGTGAAGTCATCAACTTCAGTGATGGTAGAAATAATGGAAGCAGCTTTGTCCAGCATTCCCTCTCCCTCATTTAACTGATGAAAAATTGAGCCTCAAATTCAGAAAGTGGCTTGTCCAAGTTGAAGAAAATTTGTATGTTCTTAGCTAAGTAAAATAGAATGAATTTAAAATAAAATTTATTGCTGAATTGTTAGAAGTAATAAATCAAGGAAAATATTTCAAAGCATCTGATGGCCACAAAAAACAAGAATTTTGGATACCATACGAGAGAACGAGGTATGATATTGTACTTTCCTTTTTAGAAAGAAGATAGTGGGGGATACCTAATAATAGTTACTAAAATTGTAGATTAATACTTAGGATATAGATTCTGTTCTATTGATGGAACATGACAAAAGAACTGATTTGTCACCCTTCTGGGCTCCAAATTCTCTCACAGATCCCTCTTAAATGTTACTATTTTTTACTTTCTTGTTTGTTGGTTTTTATATTTTATTGGTATGTTCTCAGATTAATATCTTATAGCTCTTAGGAACTATTCATAGATCTATTTAGAACAACTCATTTATTTTATAAGTTAAAATAAATTAAAACTCATGGAAGTGAGTTAAAACCCAGATTGAGTGATGTCACATTACGAAATATGTAGGGTCTTTTTTTCTCGTGTGTAAATGCTGTGCTTTTTCAAATTGACATGGCAGATATCTTTTCTTTTCTTATATAGTTTTCATCTTACTCTTCACTAATCATTTTTCTTTTTCTTTTCTTTTCTTTTCTTTTCTTTTCTTTTCTCTTTTCTTTTCTTTTCTTTTCTTTTCTTTTCTTTTCTTTTCTTTTCTTTTCTTTTCTTTTCTTTTCTTTTCTTTTCTTTTCTTTTCTTTTCTTTTCTTTTTTTTAATGGAGGTACTGCAGATTGAACCCAGGACCTTGTGCTTTGCTAAGCTTGTGCTCTACCACTGAACTATACCCACCTCCCTCGCTAAACATTTTAGTACTATTTTGAAAACCTAAATAACTTTAAGAAAATATTGACTAGCTTTACAGTTCTGGAGTAAATCCTGAATGAACAATTGGAGTGGCAAAGGGAGCTCTTAGGAGTTAAGGTCAAAATATCAGAATTTGGAATTAGAATTTGGGTTCCCTATGCAGATACATTCTAAAGGCAAATATTATAAACAAAAGCATTTTTGAAGTCAAGCATCAGCTGAATTATCCTATGGCAAAGCTCCCTTAACTGTGACAGTGGCTCTGCATCTAGAATTGAGGTAAGTTAGCCAGAGAACTTGGCAGTGTGTTCCTTTGGAATCTCTCTTTTTGAATTTCCTGCCTGACATGTAACTTTACAAGTGTCACAACAAATTAGCTCCAAAAGTAGTGAACAAAACATTACCTGCAATATCCTACATTCCTTTCAATATATGTTTAAATACCAGATACTAATAATTAAAAGAGAAACTGCTTTAAGATAAAGAAGCATTTTAAGAAACAAGTCTAATTATTTGTTCTACTAGTAGAGAGAGAGAGAGAGAGAGAGAGCCTTCTAGGTCTTTCCTCACTTCCTCTCTCTTTTAAAAATAATTAGATATATTGCATTTATGTAACTTTTTTCCCTAAAATTCTTCATTTGGAGAATGCCTTGTAATTTCTGCCCATATTTATATATTATAAATAAGCTCCACGCAGGAGCACTTGAAGAGGTAGCACTTTTGCTGTGGCTTTTAGCAAGGAATGTGAATGAAAATTACAAGATTAATGTCATTATATGATAATTATTTTCATTTAAAAAATTTGTTTTACCCTAGTGGAGGGTTTGGAGATTATTGTTAGTCAGAAGAAAATATTCTCTCTTCCTGAAACACACCCTCTTCTACAATTTAAGAAACATTTTTCTTTTATGAAGATGAATTCAATGAGGAGAACAGTTCACTGATCTTGATAACAGGACTGCAGAATAGCGTCAACAGCTGGGGAGGCAAGCTGACCACCACTGTGGTTACTACTGTGGCTATTTTAGGAATAGCCCCTGCTCACTCCTGGGAAAGCTTTGGTGTTGAATGGCAGTACACGTCTTCCATCTGCGATAACACGGATGCAGAGGGACCACCAGCTGCAAGAACATTGTTAGGTTGACCTTTCATGTTGATGTGTACCAGTTGGGATGCTTCTGGCTCTAAATAACAAAATGCCTGACACAAGTAAGGAAATACCAAAAGTTCAAAAGTCGTGTGGGTTCACGACCGTTAGATTCAGCAGTTCAGTTATATCCTTAAGGACTCGGATTCCTCCATCCCTCCGGTCTGCGTTTACAATACTCATTTCTCTCTGAGGTTCTTTCCCTGGGATGAGATGGCTGTGTTTTGTGTCGGTCTCAGCCTGTGAATTACCAGTGTTGTGGCTGTACCTGCGCTTGTGGTTCTTACTGTGACTGAAAACACCCTCAGCACTAGCCATCAGGAAACTTTGGGAAGAAAGAAAGAGAGAGAGAGAGAGAGATGTTTATTACCTACAAGTCCTGGAAATGACAGTGTACACTTGGGGCCACATAGGGAGGTTACAGGGGAGAAAGAAGGAGGGCACGTGACAGGGTTCTGCTTTTATTGGAGTTGAGGGTGAGGGCCTAGGGTTTTTCAGATTCGCTCTGTATTGGTGAATAAAACCTAATAGCAGGAATTTAGAGCATGAGAAGAGAAAAAGCAAAGGCCCAAACGGCCAGTTACCAAAATCAACCAAGAGCTCTAGAACAAAGGGTCCTGGGGTGCGGGGCTAGTGTGAGGGATAGAAGGGCCAAGGGTGCCTGCCTCTTTATCTAGTCCCATGGGCTGGTGAGCTGTTCTTTGCAGACAGCCGTCTTTGAGGTGGATGCCTCCTCAATCAAAGCTGAAGCCAGGCACTTGCATTACAGAAAAGATAAACTAGCTGACAAGGCTGACACTACAGGTTAAGAAAAGACTCCACATGCTTTGTTGTATCCACATCTCCTCTTTTGCATCTATAGAATACATTTCCCCCCAATATGCTAATTTAACACAAGTTGCTTGCCTATTGCTGTGGGAAAACACTGCAATGATTAATCTGGGTTCCTTAACCAATTCCTGGCAAGGGAAATGGGTATTGTGAGTAGTTTTATTAATTAGGACCATTCCTGGATCTGAAGTCAATTCCTAAAACTATGTTTGTATCAAGGAAGGCTAGAATGAATACTGGAGACTCAAACACAATGGGTTCTTTTTTCCTATTTAACGATCTCCTCTTATAGATGAACATAAACAAAAGAATTTAAGAAAAAATTCCTAAGAAAAAGCTCCTAAGGGAATATGAATATGAATAAATATGAAAGCCACAGGGTTCTAAACTTCCTTTATGTTTAACAAAGGATATCATTTTGCACATAAACCCCCATTTCCCTAATGGGAGATAAACAATAATGATTAAATATGTCATTAAATTCCAGTTTAGAACTTTTTTTCCTCAGTCTAAATGAGTGCCTTTTGGGTAATTTATTCAATGAATTCAAAGTTTAACTCCTTAGCACTTCTGCCTCTCCAGCCTCCTAGGGTCCTGCCTGTTTCCCTCCCCTTCTGAATAGTATCTGAGTACAGGGGAAACTAGTATTTTTGAAAGTCGTCAGCAGGACGCCCCTGTTCACACAAAGCCATTTCTGCAACTCGGTCATGACTCAGGACTGCTGGGCTCTGAGTTAGAATCTGTTCTCACTGCCTCAGAGCTGGAGTCTCAGTCTGCTGTCCGAGCAAGACAACTGCTCCAAGAGACCTGGGCCATTGCTCTTTGTTAACTGGGCACTACCCGGGCTGTTGATGACTTGCAGATGCCCTGATATCTGGCTGTAACTCCTTTTTGGTCCCTGGCTCTGGTGATTCCCTGTATATCTTCAAATGTAGCTTTCCATCGTGGCTTCTTGATGTTGGGACTTCCCTGGTGTCTGAACTGGGACTTGCAGGGCATCGTGAATCTTTGGGTAGCCACCAAAGAGCACTTAGAGAGTTCTGAAGCCCCGTGGAGCTTCTCAGTGGAGGACTCATGGCATTGGCATGGGATTGGATGAGTAAGAGCCAGTATACTCTGGGTGAGCTCTTTTAGGATGTTAACTCTCTGGATGTTAACCTGAGGGGATTCAGTAAACTCACTGGGAGGGTGGCTCTTAGAAGTCTGGAGACAGCAGTAGCTCATACTGAGCAATGTTGAAATGCCTGCGTTATCACGGAGGATGGGGGGAATGGGATTAAAGGGCTCAGAAAGAGAGGCATGTTGGAATGTGGACATTATGTGAAGCAATAAGACCCACCAGGATGCATCTATGAGAGTCCAGAGGACATACCGTTTGTGAAATGCACGAGGGATATGTCGCCTGAGAGAAGTATCAGGTCGCTAAAAATAACGGTGGCTCTTATTTGCAGGCTAGGACCTGTGTTAGGAAAGGTGGTGACAGAGCTTGGCAAAAGGGATGATGGGGCCCTGAAGCAACAGGAGCCAGGAGTGGCACTTCAGCACCAGAAGCCAGGGGCTGCAACTGTTGTAACGAGATCAGCAACATTTATTTTTTTAAGTCACTGAAATCTTGATGCATGTTTGTTTTAGCAACTAGGATTCCCCTAACACAGAACTTGAAGCGTTAAGGGGGCTACCATCATAGAAAACTCATACATATTTTATTAACTTAGACATTGGATGCCAGATGGTGAGGAAATATGAGAACTCTCATTTAGTTAATAATCCATTTTGAAAAACCAGATGTTTTGGTCAAAAGAGCTAACCAAGAGCCTATATCCTATTTTGTGTAAAGGAAAAAATTTAAAAAAGAGTTATTAACCCTAATAGAAACCCTAGGGAAATATTAACCCTAAAACTTCGACCAATTTCCTTAAGTATAATTAATCTTAGTTAAATGTCTGTATAGAAATTTTAAAAAATTTTAGATGAGAAAGCTTAAAATTGTTGCTTGGCAATAACTAGTAATTGCTTTGTATGTAAAAATGGTCTTCAGTATGCTTACATCTAATTCTGACATTTTTATCAGTTATATACAGAATATACCTTGAAATTTACCTGCACTTTTTTCTTTGTTGTTTAAAATGTTATACTAAGTTTTGGGAACTTAAGTATATGTTTTTCCCATTAAAATATAAGCTGAAAAATGTTTTCTTGAGAGATATGCCTATTAAATATGTGTACTGAAAACAAGATGTTTCCTACTGAAAAAGCATTTAACTGGAAGATATTGCTCAGGGTATGCTTGTAAATTCCACAGGAGAAATGTTGGAGATATGCATTGAAAAGGTCCTAGTCGGTTTAGAGAATTTTCAGAGTCGGGGGGCTGGACGGGGTGAACTAGAATGGTATGAAGAAGTAGTCAGAGATGTTTAAACTTGAAAGATTTCATTTGGCATCAAACATCTTCAAACCTAGTAGAAACCA